AACCAAGCGATTCTGTGATTCTGTGAACTCTGGTTCATTTTTAGCTCATTCTGTTTTGATTGGATAAAGAGGACAAAAGGCACGGTGTTTTTGAGAGAAGAATCTGAATGGAATATGAGTTTTTTGTTGCAAATTTTTAATCCAGTAAAGCATACAACTATAATAGCAGTAAGTATCTTTCTGAGAAGCAAAATACCAAACGCTTTGTTAAAAAAGAATATTAGATCAATTTTTTTCACTAGCACTAAGCAAAGAGAGAAAATGAGATACAGTTGTCAAAAATATTGGAAAAACATTGTTTTTCATCTTTGCATGTAAACTTTCTTTCCCAAACTGTTAAATACAATTCAGTAGTGCTAGCAATTACTTCTTTTTTCCTAAGCCTTTTCCGGGCTTTTTTTTATTTGCAGTTGGGCTTTTCCTCTCTTGCTCTGCTTGCAGGACTGCTTCACAAGTTGCCAGTTCTTCTTGTTTTCTGCGCTCAACCTCTAGCAGCTTATTTCTGGCTGCTTCCTGAATGCTCTGAATTCTGCCTCGTGCTTCATCTAAGGATGCCTAGACAAAAACAAACAGCAATACCCCACCAACACATGAATCCTGATTTCATCAAAACCAACTGCAACCTTCCTGTTATGTTTCCTTGTGTGACTCTAAGTACAGAGAGAGCACCTCTCCTTTTCTTTTCTATGAGTGTTTTTATTGATTTGTCACAGTGACGCAGCTGTGTATCAATCTTTTCATAATGAAGAACAAAAGGAATTTCACAAAATCCCTTTTTAAATTGCTGACATAATAAGCTAATTGTGTGAAATAGGACAGGACAACAGACTAGGTATCCATCTGGGTCTAGTCCCTCTTCAGTTACTGGCTTGCTCTGTTGTCTTAACTTTTAAGTCCCTTAAAACCTAATTTTCAGAAATGCCAAAATGCCTTAGGACCTATAGTCTTTTAAGAGGCTAAAGGAGCCTAAATCACATTGACCTTCAAGGAGAGTTGGGACAAGTGGGATTTGAAGACATTTGAAAACTTCCTCCAAGTTTCCATCCTGGAAAATGAGGATACCTGGATACCTTTATATAGTTCTCTGTGGCCTACAAATGAAAATACTGTAAAAGTGCTAATCAGCACAGTATGCATATTCACAGATAACTCTCATTTTGAATTCATACTGTGAAACATCTTTAACTTGAATACAAAAGTCTTGAGAATGGTTGATCATACTAGTGGTGGATATCACAGCAACAGTAACAGTTACTGAAAAGTAATCTTGAAAACCTACCTGCAGATTCTCATACATTTCAAGTATATTTTGCTTCAGTAAAGCTCTGGCATTTTTTTCCTTTTCTCTTTGTTCCAAAGCCAGCTCTCGAAGTTCTCTAAAATGGTTCATTTTTTCTGCTTTTCCTCTCTTTTGATGTTGACTGATAGACTCATTTCTTAGCACAGACTCAGACATTTTTCTAAAGGAAATACAAATATAGTTCTCCTGTTTCAAATACAGTTTTGGATGGTGTATATTTTGTTTAACACCTATATGCATATATTTGGCTTATATACTGCAAATGGTTAGACATGGTTAAGGAGTCATTTTTCCACTGCATAACACCAATGATAAAGTACATTCCTGAGGTCAGGTCTTCTTATACTTGAGTGTCTATTTTAAAAATATTTGTAAAATCATACTCATCTTTGAGCATATGAAAAACTCCTACATGTGACACTTATTTTTAATTTGAAAGAAATATCGTATTTCCAGAAGTTTTTGATATTATAATTTGGCATTAAGATAAATGTATTTTTTTTTGCCGTTGGCATAATGGCAGCTAAGTGGATAATATATTTTTATAATCTCACTTAAATTACTAGTGTAAAAGTCAAGGAGTTGAAGACAAATGAAATGCTTCCATGACTCAAGCCTGTGAAAGTTATTTTGCCACATTTTCTACTGTTTTAATGTTTTTCACTTAAATATAAGACCAGTTTCCTTTTCAATTTATAATTAAATCTGGGAGTTTTTTCAGTGTTTTCTAAGGTCTTTTGTAAATCAATGCATAAATACCACACTGAATACAAATGGACTTAAACATGAACTGTGTTCTGGCTGCAGCAGAGCAAAGATGCAGGTACATGTACATTAGCTAGATATGTTCGTATTGATGCGTAATAAAAAACTTTTCAATAAAGAATAAAACTAATAATTATTTCAGCTATGAACTATTATTAACTGAACTGCATTTGCTAAATATATTGTTTGAATCTAGCATCACATCCAGACAAACTTCATATGTACTTCTTTCAAGATGACCACTGAAATAAACATATTTTCTTGCACATGCATTTCCTTCTAATTTTGATGTCACATTCTTATTACATGCAGTGCAGTGATTCAGCTCCTTTGATATGTATTATGTTAAGGAAAGGACATAAATTATAAATGGATGTAGGAAAGCACAGATTTTAAAACACATCCATGACAGGAAAATCAAAGCTGAAAACTCTATAACATTTACACTTCTGCATTCACTACTGAGTGATTTTGTGTACAGAACATAAAGGACAGATAAAACGTGGCCCAGGAGTTTCACAGCAACTTTAACAAGCATGTGTAAGAATTGTAGCTTACTTCAATGACGTGTGAAGGATAAAGCCTAAATTCACATCTATCATACTGCATACAATTGTATGCAGTATGATACAACAAGATACAGGTGTGTATTGCATTTACTCATTTCTACACATGAAAATCCCTAGCCAATCTTTCATTTTGGTGTTTCACTGGGACTTAATTTTCTTGCTGCAGTTTACCTTATGTAAGGACTAAGGTCCATAGGTTCCCATTTTTTTTGCTGTGTTTGTAAGCTTGAGTCAATAGCTGCCTGTGATGCTTTCTTTCCTGTGGTAAGGCAGTCTACAACAGAACAGATTAAATTGGTTATGCAGTTATGTTGGGAGGCTCCATCTGAACTCTTAGATAGTGTTTTCTCGGTTTGGCTCAGCAAAATACACTATTAAAAGAGAATATTCGTTGGAGAGGATATAATATTTCTGCCTTTTTATTTCCAACATTCATGACAGAATCAAAGATGCTGCAAAAAGCCCACATATGCTAGAGTGAAATATATGTATTTTAGCTAAATCCACAGTACTCAAGAAGATTTGTAAAACTAAGCAAGAACATTCAATTTAAAGTGACTGAAGAATATAAGAATAACTTCAGCAAGGAATCACATTCTTTTATTAAAAAAATCAATAAAAACCTGATTGTTTAGTCCTGGCTGTAGTTTAAAAAAAATAAATTCCCTTTTGGGCAGAGATTTAGTTTGGGAAATACCAATCTAAAGAAAAAAGGTTCCATGACAACTTAAAATTGTCATTCTGAAGCCTTATAAATTTTGACCACATTGATAGTAACCGTGTTATGCTTTAATGTAGCATTCTCAAAATACAATGACATATCTGATACTAAGCATGCTACTGTGCTGAGCTGCATTTTGACTACTCCAGTGCTTCCTTCTTTCAGTTTGTCTGAATGTGCTGAAAATGCCTGTGAAATTTGATGAGATTTAATGATGATTGCAGCAGTTTATTTCTATAAAAACTCTCCTATTACCCTACATACCATTGAATCAGTTGAAACATTTGAAAAAATATTACTGAAATTTTCTCAGCAAAAATAGGAAAGAGGTTTCTGAGCATTAAAAATATTTGCTGTCTATACATACACAAATATACCAGCCTTCTCTGTTGGTCTAGAAGGCTGACATGGAGTTTGGAAGTGCCTTAGACACTGTCCATCATAAAATTACTCTCCAGAACATAAAAAAATCTCATTAAGATACTGAACTTTATAGAAGTGTTCAAGCACATTATTGTCTATTGTTACACTCTATGGAGCTGAACCATAACAACTTAAAGTCATTGGGGTAACACCTTTTTACTTCATAGGACTTTGTATTAGACTCCAAATGCTTAGTTTAGAACAAAGCTCTTGGTAGAAAACCATTAATTTTGGAGTCCTTATCCAATAACTTAGAGAAAATAATATTTTTTCAAGTTCCTTTGGAATCCAAGATGTAACTAATTATGTGTTTGTCTAAGGCAAAATATACTTTGAGTTCTGAAACTGTCTTGGGAGGATTACTTACCTGACTGGCAAAATACTAATCCTAACAAGCTATGTACTGGCCACAGGTTCTAGTCCCATGCACATGAGCCATGACCAGATATTGTCACAGTCAGTCTGGGTATTATACTTTCCTGTTTGTGATGGCCTGGTGTCAGCATTATTTTCAGAAGAAAGGAAACAAAAACCAGCCTAGCAGCCTTGCACTCAGTTCAAATTTTCATCAGAGTCCAGTAATTGCCAGGGAATACAAATGAAGATTCCATAGAAGTTGTATCCACTAAATAAAATTAGACAACACTTATGGAAGCTGCCAGGAAGCTGATACTACTTAATATGTACTTTTTGACACCACACTTCCAGAGCAATGTCCATGAATGGTTCCCATGAACATTAACACAAAGAGAATGCACGTTAGAAGTATTAGTGTCTTACTGACATGCTATTTCAGCTGCTAAGCCATTTAAAAATATTTCTACACTAATGAACTCTGGTACCCAACTTGGAATTAAGGGAGTAGGTATATTCCACTGAACTTCCAAAAATTTCAGGTTAATATAGGGTTAGAATTCTAGTACAGAAGGACTGCCTAAAGTTTGCTTAAGGGTAACTTGGCAGCCTCCAAGAGCCGCGAGGCTGTATCTATGTCTGAAAATAGAGCAATGCTACAATTAAAACAAAGAGGGGATAGAGAAGATAGAAATTAAGCATGCCATTGTGCATTTGGACACCTTTATAAGGGCTGTTCTATCCATTTATTATCAGTATTTAATTCAGAAGTCTTTTCTAAAGAGCTCAACATGATGAACCAAAGACATGCTTGACAGAAAGTTATACCCTTACCTCTTTCTCCTGAACTCGGTGTTAAACTGGCAGTCTCAGTCCCAGCTATGGGGTCCTCTGAATCTCTCACAGCATACTTATTAACAAACTGCATGCGCTCCTGAAAAGCCTAGAGATCAAAGTTTTAATCCAGACAAGAAAATTTGTACTGCATACTTTAAAACCCAAAGAATTTTCAAAAGTAGGAATCTATAAGTGGTCAATAAGACAGTAAGTCTTCAAATCCACTGTATGTGAGATATCATGCTACTTTGTATTACTGGTGAGTATATTTCACTGCTTTATCTATAAAAACATCATCTCTAACAACAGGGATACCATTAGTGAGTCACTGGGGAGATGAAAGGATAAATAAGGGGACCACATTTCATGTCAGATTCATATTCAACTCAACTCTCCAATAGATTTTTTTTTTCTGAAATAGAACCTGTCAACATGAAACATCCAATATTTCTAGTAATATTTTGGAACCTTTATTTGTTTAGTTTTAATGTGTTGAGTAGAGAATAAATAAATTAGCATTAGTACTTAAAGTTCATCTTTAATTTCCATGAAGTGTGTCTTGAGTACCTGAATAAGAACCCCAAAGTAAGCCTTTGTAAGATGATAGTTCAGTAGAATGAAATGTAGGCAGTACACTTTGAATGGTTTCACTCCACTCAATGCAGGCTGGCTATATTTAGTACATAGCCCAGATAAGAAAACAATACTGTCACTAACAAACCTAACACCAGAGTGCAGTATGCAACTCTGCCTGGGGATGGAATCAGAAAAGATCCTAAAGTTCCCATTGAATCAGTCCTGAGACATGGAATAGTTACACTAAAGATCATCATGCAATGAAATACTGGAAAATCTCTGGGTGGTTTAAAATAATCTTTGGATTTAAAAATAAAAACAAAACAAACAAAAAAAGAAAAAACAACCTGAAAAGCAAGTTTTCCTCATAGCTGAATGTATGGTCAGAACACATTCAGTCACTGCACCTCCTCAGGGAAATATCACTTCCTCCTAGGAGCTCCTACAGCCTGGTGGTTTAGTTTTTCTCCTAAGAAATGGGAGCGATGGGTGCAAACCCTTTCAGACTCAATCACCTTTAAGGCCAAAACCAGGCATCACTATCTCTGCCTGTGTTTTCAGAAGGTGTCTTTGGCTCACTGGGCTTTCTCTTAAGGGCTCAGATTGCCAGATGGACAGAGAAGCCAAAAGTCAGCCTTAAATCAGGCACCTAATTCCTGGAGTCAGAGGCCATGTGACCCCTGGAACAGGCAGATGTTGGGGCAGGATGATCATGAAGAAAAGAGAAGGAAAGCTACTTAGTCTGGATAGCAGACCCTCAATTTAGACCTTTTTTTTTTTAGTGTATTACATGCAATTGCTGCAATTTTCTTAACAATAACTGGTTTAGAAAAATGTCACAGACCTAAGGGGCTTTTAAAATGGAACCCTTTAGCTGTAATTCAGTTGATTTTCTGATCAAAAAAGGCAACAGTGCTATCAACATTCTGAAAGACTCTTTACACATCAAAGTGGATTCATTGCCAGCTAATCTTTAGGAGGTTGTATTTGCATTTTCAGTCTCAGCACAGCCAATCTAAGCTGCAGAGTAATGCATCTCTTCCTAGATCAGAATTTAATAAAGTAGTGTCAGAAAAAAAATTGAGAGTTGGATACATTAAGAGAACGGAGAAAATCTGAAAGTGTAATGGGAAGAACTTCATTTCTAAAAGGTAATATAAAAAAAGGTAAAATGCTTCTAAGCTGAGATTTCTGGCCAAGTATCCCTCAATGGTTAATTATGGTGGTGATGATAGTGGATGACTGCCAGATAAGTTTGAAGACTGCATTTTGTTCTTTTACTTTCCTCTTTTTTTGCTAATGATGCTCCCACTTCTGAATCAGCAGTATAACTTTTTGCTTTGCTAGAAAGAACATATATTATTTTTCCATCTTAGGTACATGTCATGTCAAAAGAGCCCAGCTGCAGCTGGCATTTGAATTGCTTCTCCAAAACAGTGAAGTCATACAGAGCAGCATGTACAGGCTCATGGGTAACCTGCAACCCAGAATGAATTTGGGAATCCTGGATGCAGAGGACAATTTGAGTGATAATATGGCCAGGCGCCAGTTCTTCAAGAGAAAACTTTTGGGCATGTTTATAACAGTGTCTTTCTCACTAGAATCTGTTCAAGCTAAACATTAAACTTGTTGCAAGTAGCAGCTTTGCAATTGTGTAGAGGTAGTGGGCTTTCTAAGGAGAAACTTTTCTCTGTTTTGTGAAGTAGAATCTCAGTGTAAAAGTCTCAGTGATCTGCAGAGGTCAAAAGTAGGTGATCTGGATTCCTGCGACCCAGAATTCATGCATATAATCACTTGATTCTTTAAGCTGTGCAAAATTTACTGTCTTCCACAGTGTGGTGAAGAGGACAGCCATATAAGTCAGGTCTCTGTTGTGGCAACTGCTCTACCATCACAGCAGCTCCTGCATCTTGTGAAGAAATGTTACTGCAAAGATTGCACTCTGGTATTACCTTAATAGCTCTTCCTGGGTCTGCAGACTCCCATGCTTGTTTCAAGGCTTTGATCTCATCTACTCGCTGAGTGTCTTTCTTTACCTCCAGAATGTCTGCCTCTCTCTGTTCACTCACTAGACGTAAAGTCCAGTAAGGTTGGTTTGAAACAGCTTGCTGAAAGTGAAGCATCATAAACATAATGTATTCATTGGTATACATCTGCTGCCACTATTTAGGATGAAGTTATGCTTCTGTTTCCTGGTAATTTTCCCAACTGATATATGTTATGCATTGATAGACTTTGACATGCATAATTACGCAAACAGTGGCTGCCAAAGGAAAGGAAAATTATTTTGCAGTGTCTAGAAGCTCTTTGAGGTATAATTTTTACATGCTTCCCCCCACTCCCATACAGCATGCTCCACACTTCCAGTTCTTTTGAACACTCTGTCTGGACAGGAGTATTTTGTAGCAATTGTCTTGTCTCCCTGCCATGCTTTTTTCTTTCCCTCCTTTCATTTCCTTCCTTCCTTCCTTCCTTCCTTCCTTCCTTCCTTCCTTCCTTCCTTCCTTCCACAAAATTTTTCACTAGAAGTCTTATATTTAACTAGGCTTTTTGTGTAAAAATACATCTTGTTCTGTGTCATGAGGCATCAGGTTTTTACCAAATAAAACCTTTCTTTCCCAGACTCTCTAAACTACCTTAGCGTGTGACTTCTCCAGAGCTGTGTGGGACAAGTAGTGCCTGAAATGTAGAAGACTATATTGCTGTCTGACCAAGGAATGAGATACTGTGCTGCATATATTTCTGGAAACGGTACATCTGAAGAAGCTCTAAGTTCAAGATTTAGAAATAGAGATAGGAGTTCAGCTTTTATTTGAGCCCTAAAGGTGTGCATCTTCTTTATCTGCAAACAGTCTCATCTCGAAACTTGCATCTGTTTTAGTGGCAGACTGTTGTACTCCTAAGAACTATCATCCCAGCACTCCTAGTGTACCCCATCATTGGAGCTGAAGGCAAAAATCTGTCACAGCCTGAAGATGCATTGCATTTTTGTGGCCAGCAATTTCAACTGCAGACACTCAGACTGCTCTGAAAGAAGGATTAAGGCATTATTCCAGAACTCCATAAAATTAGGTGTTGATACGAATCATATGGAAGTTTGCTGTGCAGCAGGTTTAGTCAACAAAAGAATTCTGCAGAGATTTCTTCATGAAAAACTATGGAGATGCTCTCCCCTTGAGCTGCCTGCCATGAGGCAGCAAAACTCCCAGCAAAAGCAATACCATTAAATGAGGAGCTGTCAGTTTCTTCCTTGCTTTCCATTAATCTGTTTGCAATCCATAAAGTCAATTACTCCTTTTAAGGCATATATGCTGGCAGTAGCCTTTCGGACAAGTACAGAACACTCAGATTATCCCACTACAGATAAGAATTTGGAAGTAAGTACCAATTTATCTGCCATTGTTTGTCTGCAAACTAATGACAGTTGTGACATATGAGACAGGAACTGACTATAAGGGAAAGACCTATTTCATCTCCCTGGGGACCCATGAAAACCACTACAATGAGGGACTAGTGGGACATGAATATGGTGAATTAATGGAATTTGCTAAACCTTCAGCAGAGACACAAATGAGACTAGCAAAAGAAACAACCAGTAGTTGCTTTAGACATAAACAAAGAAATGAGCACATTACTTCTCTAAACGCAGGATGGGCATCTTTTACATGCATAATTCAATCTCTCTCAGGTGTAAAGCTAAAAAGATGGCAAAGTAGAGCATGGAGAAATGCAAGGGATAGACTAGAAGTGCTAGTAATACTGATCTGCAGACCTGATCATATCTTCACATTCAGTACAATGATGGCACATTAAACAAATCCAGTTTTTGGCTTTGTTCTCACCTGAGATTCAGGTCGAGATCCAAAAGATATGATTGATCCTCTTTCTTTATTGTACTTCTCTTTTTCTGTCTTCTCAGATGCTTTTTCCTTTGATTTTTTGTTTGGTTTATGAACACTTGCAGACTTTTGTCCTTCAAAATGATTACGCATTAGGGGAAAGGTATGCTCCTCATGCTTTTCCCCATATACTATTCAGATGTAGTTATGATGCATGATGAATTAGAGGACACCATTGTCATCCATAAATATATTTCCCCATGTAATATCCAGGGTAGAATAACAGCACAAAACAGCCATATAGAAAGACAAAGAAAAGTCAGTTACTTAGTTGACACTTTCAAGTACTATGCTAACATTTATTGGATCAAGAAAGAATTTGGGGACAAAACAATATTTAAAAATAGACTTACAAGGTGGATATATTGTGACAGCCTTATCTGTCCTAAATAGCACTTTACCCAGGCCTTAACTGCGCTTGCCATGGTCCCTGCACATCAGTTACTGCATTGTTGCCTTGTGCATGGGTCAATCCAAAGATTGCAATGTACAGAATCATGATCTGACTCTGACTTTTCTTACATAGTCCCATACAATCTCTGTCAGCATCATGCATCAGACAGGTGAGAAGCTCAAAGTAAGTAAAGTCAGTGTTTTCATTGTCTCATAAGTCTGAAAGTGTGAAGAGCAGAAGGGAAGAGGTGCCACACGAAAAATGGGGGAAAATTAACGCAAATAAGCATATTTGATATTTGATGCATATTTAAGAAATGCAAAATTATCAATTGCAGAACTATCTGAGAACATTTTTTATTAATTATTTTATCAGTACATGTGTATGCTGTATATATGCTATATATCTGAATTAAAGATAGTGAAAATTGACATTTGTAGCATTCTGCACTGTAATAGCTGGTGGGAGCTGTTAACAGAACTTTTTGCATGTCATATTCTTGTTAAAACAAACAAACAAACAAACAAATAAAGCAAGCCTGTAATAGCATATAGCTTTAAAAGGATAAGGAACACATCAATTGAAACAACTTGGAATGGACCCACAACACAGCAATAAAGATTAAAGATCTGAGTTTGAATCTCCATTTCCTTCCACCTTCGCACTGCTTGAAACATTAAACAAATGTTGAAAACCTAGATTTAGTCAAAAAAATAAAACAGGGGATTCCTCTTGGAAAAAAGAGGAAATGAGTGACTATTTTACAGTCTGACAATAATAACAATGTACCTTTCACTTAATGCTATGCTTTTCTAATCTCTTTCCACTGAGGACAAATCACTGTGCTGCATGATTTGATCCTAAGTCCACTAAAGATATTCCACTGGCTTTAATGAACTTTGGATCAGATTTGCAATGTCATGGCTGAAGTTATATAGATATATAAAACAGTAAATACTAAATATATAGAAACACATTTATAATACATGTATAACTACACATACAAATATATATGATATGATATGATATGATATATATGTGTATTACATCATACATTATACATGTATAAATTGTATTAATCTTATCTCCCCATGGTACTTAAATAATATATAATGGTACCCAGGTGCTAAGCTTAAATTGATTCAGTGCTACCAAAGCATACATTAAAGAATGAAAGCAAAAATTAAAGGTGTCTCCACAAATATTGAAGATACTAAAACAACTCCAGGGGAAATGCAATTATAAAATAAATAGCGATGACATTATTTGAAGTTATAGTATCATTACATAAATGGCTTTCCACTTAATTTCACATTATCATAACATATTAGCGCCATAAATCAGGCTGGCGTACACACATTTTTCATTAAATTATTTATTTTTGAAGATAAATTATTTACTGCCTATAGAAACACTTAAGAGACATTCAGTATCATTAACTAAATGATATCGGACAAAGACTTTCTATGTGATGGGATACCACAAGCTTTGTCTAGCTTCTATCAATATTTTACAACTCTGAATTTTAACATTTTGATGCTCTAGACTTATTGTGTACACTGAGAAGTTAGTAAATGACAAACAAACATATTAAATGACAGGGCTAAAATGATGCATCTTGCTTTGACTCCAGATAGGAAGGCTTAGGGCAGGATTCAGCTGAGCTCTCTTAGCTAACAGCACGCTGCACTATCCAGGTTCCCTCATCCATACTACCTCCCTGAGCAGAGCAGGCAGTCTCCCCACTTTCTGGGATCATCCTTCAGATACTCTTGGAGGGGGCACTGGCCGCAGTTTGGCACTACAGCATGCAGCCCACTCTGACTCTAAGGGCCACATGAGTAGTTCCTCCAGACTTTTCCAAGGACAAAGCCAGGCAAAGGCTTTGTATGGGACGTGATAAGAAGAAAAGCAGAGAGATGATACAGAAAGTAAAAGGCCATTCCAGCTCATAGCTTATGCATCAATCATCACAAACTCTCAGTGGCAGTTACTGTATATGTATGATGCAAAGAAAAGCTTGGGCATCACACCAATTGACAGTGATGGCAAAAAGCTGATAGCAACTCTTAAAATCAGCTTCTCTACCACTTTTCAATTATTTACTCAGAGATTCATTTAGCCTAATGTCAGAAGGCACCATTGTGATCATCCAGTCTGATGTCCTGTCTATGACAAGCTAAATAATTACACCAAATGATTCCTATCTGAAACTCATAACTTCAGATTGAGATACAACTCTCTTTTTTAGGCAAGATAAGACAGCTACTCCTGATTCATGAAATTCAAATACAGAGAATGAATCTCATTCATAGGTAAAATACAGAAGAGTCTTTTGAAGATTTCTTTTTTTTTAGAAGATATCATGCTCTCACTATCTGAAATAGGCTCTGAGCATTTAGTGCGATTACCCAGTAGTTGGAAGAAATGGCTGTTACTTGCCCCAGGAGAGACTTTCAGATTTGGTTAAAAAATGACTGTGAAGTTCAGATGTTGCTTTTCTTGCCTTTGACTGGACTCTCAGAAAGTTTCTGAAAAGATGGCAACGTGAAAAATCTTTCCAAAGTTGGGTTTATCCAGACACTAAAGTTGCAGTAAAAATACACCAGTATAGAAGCAAACCACCAATATGGTTGGAGTAGTAGGGCAAGGTTAGAGTATGGCTTAGAGGTCTACAGGGCTTTAAACACTAGCACTATTGTGTATCCTCAGTGACCTATTTTGTCGCTGAACACCAGGCAAGTGATTAATCACTACAGACAGGCAAAGTGCGAAAGAGGTAAGAGAGGGTGATCTGAACATCCTGTTAAACATATCATAAATCCTGATATTAGCATGATCCAGCAAGTTCTCCTGTGGGAAGAGAAAACCTCTGGAGAAAATAAAAGGAATACTCCAAAGGAATTTGCCTCTTCTGCCTTTTCAAGCCTACCTCTACTACCGGGGTTGGGTGTCCTATCTCCCCCCTGCTCTCAACAAAATACACACTGCAGTCAGCATTCAGTGCACACTGATGATTCAGCTCTGAGTTGTCACAGTTGCACAATAAAAGAACTGATCTTACTACAACAAAAAGTAAAACCAAAGAACCCAAAAAGGCAATAGCTGAAAACCGTATCTACAAAATGAATCTCAAAATAATTTTGTTTGCACAGTCAAGCAACTTAAAATAGTGATTGCAGTTGCAAGATTGCCTATTTATTTTTCTCCTTTTACACAAGAATTATGATCTATACCTCACTTTTTTTTAAACTAATTTTTCATTCAACTCTTGCTCCATTAACAGTTCCCAATGGAAGGGAAAAATAAAAGGAAAAAAAAGAGATAAAAGAATGGAGAATGTATAAATACTGGCATTTCCTAATTCCTGTGTTCCTGGGTTTTCCAGGTTAATGCCTTTTTAATGTACTGCTTCTGCAATGTGCTCTTTAATAAAGCATTTAATGACATATCTATCTAATAAATACGACTAAGTATTATTAATGAAATAATTTTGCTAACATAGATCTGTTTACAATACTGTCAAACTGCACCATTAAGGATTTTGAAGAAAGGGAAGAATAATAAACATCAACAAATAAAAATTACAAAATTATCATAGCATCTGTATGCCAGAGAACTTATTTTCTCCAAAAAAATTCTTAATAAATATTTATCATGCTGGTGAATATCGATAGTATAATAGTATGCCTCTTCATTTAAAGGGAGACTAGTTTAAAAGACTTTAGTAAATGCTAATACAAAGCTGAAATATGCTTTTGCCATGATAAATTAGCTTTAATACAAAACTAACTCCAGATGGCACTGTTGTCTTACATGAAAAAGTGATGTGTGAAATAGTGAAAATTGTTGCAGGATTTTTCTATGTGGTTCACTGCAGCTTTCTTAAAATTCACAGGGTGAGATGATGCCTTTTTTGGTTACACACCAGCATTGCTATTGCGTGAATTGTGTGCTTAATAACTAGTGCTGGCAGCTTTAAATGGTAAAGCTCAGTTTTCAAAGTGCATTAAGATTAGCTCACAATCAGAAAAATATTCAGAGATTAAATGTTGGTTTTTCCGAAGTACTTACTTATAGTAAGCACTCTAGATAAATATTGCTGCTAATAGGGGTACCTAAAATAAATGCTAAGTAGTAAATACAGTAAGTGTTGGTGTTTATGATTTGTGTTGGTTTTGATCTCTCTTGGTAGCCTGAGCAATCTGTTGGTATCTTTGTATAAACAGAAACACTCCATTAATATGAACTGTGAAATGGATTTGGGTTACTTTGAAAGGCAGCAATTATGAGGGGAGACAGAAATCACAACATGTAAAAAGCATCCTAAGAGAAATGTTGTTAACACTGACTGTGGCTTGAGTATGACTGACTGCACATGGGTCAAAGCATCAGTTAACATGGAGAAGGGAAGCTATGAACTGGAATATTGCTACCTTGATCTAAACATAAGCATACTCATGACATTGACAGGCTTCAGTAATGACAGTTGAGAATTAGTGAAGAAACTTATTGTATTAATAACTGTAATAATATTGTGTTAATGACTGTAATAATGTGTTAACTTAAAGTGACCTCCTTTGACCTGCAGTTTTACAGCTCACGGTGACAGCTGTATGAAAGGATACACGCCAGTAGCATGACTGGTGTGTTACAAGCAAGCTGTTAATATGTAGCTGACTCAGAAGGATATGACAAGGTAATAGTATGTCTATTGTAAGAAGCGGTCTACCATTAAAGGTAAAACGAGGAGAATAAGTAGAGTTATCTAGGAAGAAAAGTTGATTTAGTGAAGAATGCAACAAACAAAAAGCAGGTGAAATAACCACTAAAAAAGCTGTGTAGGAGCCCGTAAGGCTACATGGCATAGCTCCTCATATATTACTAGAACTGACTCGGGAGTACAATAAACCAACAAGGTACATATTTGTAAAGTTCTGTAACACTAGCTGAAAAAAGACTGCAAAAATCTCAAAAGTCGCACTCATCTTAAAAGCAAGAAATGAAATAATATATGGCAGCAATTACTGCTGATGAATCTAACTTCAGTCCAGGGTACTAGAAATTGAAAAAAAAAAAAAAAAAAAAAAAGACCAGACATTTAAAAATAAATATGTAACCAGAGTAAGATGTGAAATAGCACTAATAAATGAAGATCTAATCTTCCTAAGAAAATATATGGGTATTAGCAAGTGTATATATATGAGGAAGGATAATGCAAGTAATTTCTTCTTATTTCATATTTTTAAAATTGAGTAATTGAGTGAATGGTGGAAAGTAACATTTTAGGTTCTGCAGGAGTCTAGGGGTGGGAGCACAGATGAGTCAGCCACAGGGGTGCATGTGTATGTGTGCATGTGTGAAGACTGGCAGCTAGAGTGGGTCTGCAGCTGCAGGAGCTCATATGGGGTCCAAGGACCAGCTACTGGGCGGACGAGGTGTCTTAAGTCTAGCTGCTAGAAGGATCCACCTATATATATATATTTATATCTATAGAGTCTCTCTAGTGGACTTCCATTCTGTCCAGCCAGAGAGGGAAGTAGGATAAGGCCATTGGTGTTTGTATTTGTGTGAGTGCTCTGAGTGTCTGTAATCTGTGTGGCTGGCAATGTATATATGTATGTACATAGCGTTCTTGTGTGTTCTGTGTGCATGTGTCTGCTGGGACTACATCTTCAGCCTTGCTAATGGTTGGATGTGGAGTGGAAGCAGTCTTGCCTCTCTCGGTCTGTTGGATCCAGCATGATAAATTTTCCTCCAACACAATTAAGATCTAAATCATTCTTTGTCAGCCCCAGGGGTAAAAGGAGAAGCAAATATGAGACATTTTATCTAAGTTCAAGGATACTGACTAGTATTCTAACTGCTTATAATACGTGTTAGGTTTTTTCCCTGTCCCTTAACAAGAAATGCTAAGAGAATTTGGAAAAAAATAAGAAAGAAAAGCGTCTGTAATTTCTCTGTCTCCTTCCTGGCTTCAATACACAGCCTGTCCTTGGGACCTTTCCTAGTTTTGTCTCCTGCTTAAATTCTTCTTCTAGCAGTATAGAAGTAATACACTCCCAAAACAGGCTTTAATTTTTTCCCCTTGTCAGTGCATTTTCTTAAATTATCAGTGGGTATGTTTCTCTAGTTTCAGTAGAACTTCTGTGTTTGTATGTACTTTATCGGTCTCTCTGACTGTAGAAGCAGTCACACTTCTACAACTGTTACAGATCCCTACCTAAAGTTAAGCCCTAAGAGCTCAAGTCGGTTTTGCAGAGTATTCTCTGATTTCTTTATAACTTGTGAACTGTATGTATAGAATTGTGCAATCAAACTTCACTTCTATGAACCACAGAACAAAGACCTTTATTGCTTAATTATTTCACTCAGGCAGTGACTACAAGAAAATATGTCATATGGTCTTGGCTTGTAGCAATATAACATTTTTTTAAAATCAGTAACATGATGCATTTGACTAAATACATACTAGGATTGACCTACCTTTCATTTCATTTTTCTCTATTTCTTTCAGTTCCTGAACAAACAGAGACTGACTCTCAGTAAGTGGCCAGCTATTATACAACACCAATGCTTGTATGATAAACTTGTGAGACTGTGGAAGAAAATGCAGTATGTTAACATGCTGAAGACATAACAATTACAGTAAGCATTCAAAAGTCCTGTAGGTTAGTAAAATGCCAGCTATTGAACTCAGCAAATAACACACATAATTAATTTACAAGCTTGAACATTACGGTAGTCACAAGAAGCTTAAAAAATTAGTGTTACTTCCACAGATTTTATTTTAATTACTGTGAAATTAAACAATTATCCATGTGTTTATCAAGTGAAAAAAAACTGGGTTATACAATAAGGAGCTACATTCCTTTAAGATTTCCATGTAAATTTCCTATGTATGCCATATGCTAAAACAAAGACTTTTGTCTTTGATTTTAAGACCTACTACAGGGCTTTGAGCCCTAATACCAGCACTCAAAAATATCTTACTTTGAGGTGACAGGGTCAGTGGGTTAGTTTAAACATAGTCTACACTAAACAGGAAATTATTCTTTTAAAAACTGTTTTCCAAATTCTAATGCCACTTCTGAGTCAAAGGAACAATTCTGGAGTTTATTTCTCAATATTTCTTGGTTTTAATAATTTGTTGCAATATAATTCAATTATCAGGAAAAATCACAGTAGAGAAACACTTGGAAAAAGAGAAGAAAGAACTGGTTTAAAAAATAAATATTATTTTTCCAAGATAGACAAATAATACTGCTGAAGTCAAGAAAAATCCATGTTTTTGACATCCCTCTGAGAAATTCAAGTAGCGGCTATTGTGTGTGTGTTACTAAAGCTTTCAGCTGACTGGCAATAGCTGTTTCTCTATTAAAACTATTTAAAATTGCCTTCTTTTACATCATATTTCAAAGAAAACTCACATTGAAGCATCAGAATTTTAACTTCATTACTGGCAGTTTTTGGCCTTTTGCAGAAAGTTATGCTATACTTAAATTTGATTTGGCAAAAGAAGAACATTTAAAGATTGAATATGTCACCTTGATTTGAAAAAAAAAAAATAAAAATTTGTTACTTGGTTATTCATATATGTACATTATCCTTTCTCTATAGCCTCATTCAGAAGATACCAACAATCTTAATTTTGGATTCCTTGTGTTTGCCTCAAGATATCAGATCTCCATATGGATGAAAAGAATTATCGACACCCTTTCATTTTGTTTAATTTTTTTTGTGTGTGGTTTGGTTTGGTTTTAGGTTGGTTTGTTAGTTTGTTTCCCATATCCCAGTTATTTGGAATCTCTTACTTGTTGCGGACTTCTATCATTATTTTGAAAGTTTTCCAAGAGGGAAGATTCATCTTCAAATATAGGTGGACCTTGTCGTACAGGTCCTGGCTTGAAATAAGTTTTGAAGTCCTTTGAAGATAAAATTTGACTTTTTTTTTTTGATCCTCCAATTTCTGGATCCTTCTTTGTATTGCTTTGAAGAATCTGGGTTTTGCTTGCTGTAAGATGATTAAAAAATGTCAGCAATAATTTCCAGAAATACTATGAATTATTGATATGAGGTAAAGAGATGCCCCCAGAAACAATGAGAAAAAAATCATTATAGTCAATTTTCTCATGCTGTATCATGGTCACAAGGTTCCAGTTAAAATTATGCCTATTCCAAATACTATCCTGATTCCATACTGCATGCAAATCACAAACCTCTTCAAAGTAAATAATAAGAAATTTGAAATAATGTATATACAACTTGTTACTGTTTATAAAGCATATAATTTTTTTTTTACAGAAGGGCCGTAACACAAGTATTAATCCAGAAAACGTAAACTTGTGTTTATTTCTAATGCCACAGAAATCTATGACATTGTCTTGCCTGAATGTCTACAGAGAAAGGGAAGAGAATTCTAAAGGGGAACATTTCAAAGAAAACTGAATAAGGGCAAAAATAACACCTCTTGGGAAGCAGCTTCACCTGTGTTACACTAACAATAGCTGGACCACCAACTAGGAAATATATAGCTTTTTGACTTCACTGAGGACAGAAGGCTTTACTCTTCCCAATGTTTATTGTAGAAGCAAAGGATGATACTGCAGCATTGCAACACTTTCAAAGAAAAATGTACAGTTTCATATGTGTTGTCAAAACATCCAGGGAAGTTCACAGGGGTTGACAGGACTATTAGATTCAGCAAAATTTACTGGTGATGTTTCAGTGTATAAGCGCCAAACAAATGCTTAAGTTTGCCATTAGAAACTCAAAGGGAGGCAGGAAATATTATTTCTTGTGGAAGTCAAACACCACAGACTTGCTGTCACATCTGTCCTTTGCATAAGGCAGTACTTCCTTTTTCCTAAGAAAATCAGTGTAAGTCAGGAAATGAAAACAAGACCTTGCAGAGAAGCTTTCTTAAAGATGTCTCCAACTTCTAATTGCAAGATATGAGTTGTTGTTCTGTATGATATTCAGAATCTTTAGCACCTAAGCTTATCCCCCTTGCTGTCCCTGTGGTAAGGAGCTCTGTGAGAGAAACTTGAATGAAGACAATAATTGGTTTCTTCTGATCTTTTAAAGTAATTACTTTTAAAGTAATGCAACTCCATGAGTGTTGCTTTGGAAGAGATATGCCTAAGCAAGCCTGTAACTGTGGAACAGTTTCCCACTTAAATAGAACCTGCTGAGTATCAGTTAGCTTCCCATGCTATGAAGGTGAAAGGAGACATAACTCATAGTGGTTAGATTATCAAGTCTTTAATCAAAGAGAACCAAAATCATGAGGTTTAAATCAATAGAGGTGCATTTGGCTGAAGAAGAAACATTATCCAGAGACCAGAATCTTGCATGTTCTTTTACATCTGTGTGAAAACCTGCTGCAAAGAAACAATTTGAAATCCAAATGGAAGAATAACTCTACATATAAACATTTCCCAATCAAGTAACTTGCCTTTAGGGTACCATTTACAATATTTGCATGTAATTTTCTAGTCAGGAAGGATCTTCAATGCCTGCCTGAGCACTGTTATCAAGGGACAGTGCAAATAATTTACAAAAAAGGGAGCTTTAAAGCAGGGAGGCCAACTAAATGTACTCCCTCTTGTAGACAACCAAGGTAAGCTCCTCTCCAGGAGGTCTGGTGTCTGGGCCTTAGGAGCTGTGCACTGCCCTCTGAAGGAGCCTACCTCTACCTATCAAGGTAGGTGGATTTCAAGGGAGGTTGAATTCCTTAGGCTGCAATTAGCTTTCATGAATGTCTCACGATCCTCAACTTCTCTCAAAATCTCTTCTCTTCCTAAATCTGAAGAGCTTAAGTATTGAAAAATTCTATAATGATTTGCTCAGGGGACAATCCTGCCATTAAGATAACCCTACTCAGAATCGTGGAATTTTCCATAAGACTAATTCTGCTTTCCGTGCTGGAAAGATAACTTAGTAAAGTTCCCAAAAATGCACACACATTAAAAATAATAGCAATTGTCACCAGGTGGTGCTGTGACACCAAATTACTTTTCTTGCTATGCACATAAATATTCAGTCTTGGCTTTTATAAGCCAAACTCTGACTAGAAGAAACTCCTACCTGCCTTGGTGCCAGATTCAAACAAATGTCTGAATGAGATTTTGATTCTTTGAGATTGGATTGTATCAGGCTGCTACAATGGAAAATAGAAGGATGATGAGCATTCACAGTCTGTGCTTACAGGACTGCTGTGCTTGTAACAACAAAATGAGTTAGGCTTGCAAAATATGCATATGTAACTCCTTCAATGGCAAGTGAATTTTCAAGGTCCAAGTCATCTGCTACATGTCAGAAGAGTTAATTATATTCAAAATCAATTGGTTTAGTGTAGTTTTTGAGCTATAAAAGACATTTATAAAATAGCTGCGACTGGAGATGAATTAACAGGTTGTAAGTGGGAAAGGGGGATAATTTTTGGTGATGCTTGCACTATAACATCATTTAAGAGTACTTCTGGCAATGCAGCAATCAATTCTATAAAAGGCTAACGTGTGATATTGAATAGGTCTCAAAAGTTTGGTGCTGGTGGTATAGCAATGGTTTCTGATTATTCCTATTCTATGAAAACACACTTTTGTAGAGAACAACTAAATTCTGACAGTATGTATCTTGTTGCATTGAGTGACAACAAATGCCCATGTGAACCTGGCATCAGTATAGAGCTTCCTGTATTGTTATTGTAAAGGACATAATTTCCTAACACTTTTGACAACAGCAAAGAAACATGCTTTTACAATGCCATAAATTGCACCTACAGACACAGGTTGGGTAATATGATACTGTCATATTGGTTATACTGAGTATATTTCATAATCTTTTAATTTAGGTTGGATGCTCTGAAAGATTTGGAACACATACAAAATGTTATCTATGATATACAGGATACAGTGATATATAGGAAAAGAACTTCAACATTAAGGCCATTTGGTCTAGTATTGTAAAAATAATAGTAATAGTAAAAAAACCAACCAAACAGCTAACAGTAACAGCTTCACAGCTGTTTCTACCAAATTACAGCTTTCTATTTGCTCACATACTCACATACTTAAATGACATCAGAATATGCATTCCACCTTCAAATACAGGCTAAAATTGTAACACTTCTTTGTAAGATCCACTGCTGAATAAGAACCTGATACGACAACCTTCCTATTTTCAATCATGTTAATATAACAAATAATTCATTGAAAGAATCACAATGGAAAAATATTTTTAAATTAGCAGAAATTATTTGTATCACAGCACATAAGAGATAGAAGCTTAATGTGTGTGTCTGATTTCAGAGGATATTTTGTAAAGTTCTTCTCACCTATGTCCCCTGCTAGTCTGGCAAACACAAAATGTCCCTCTTAGTTATCCTGCCCCATCTTCTCCCTCTCAGCATCTGTTTGAACTCATTTCTCTTTCACCTGATTGTGCCTTTTAACCTACATCAGTCTTCAGACTTTGATCTTTGCCAACAAGACAGTTTCCTGAAAGAAACTTTCTCTTACTCTTTACTGAGGCTAACTTGGCAATATATTTCAAATATTGTGATGCTGACCCTAACCTGAGCTATTTTATAGCTTTCCTGCTTGTATTTCCACCAGTCTACTATTAAGTTTACTAATCCATTCCCACATTTCAAAACCAGTAACTGAAAATAGCTATTGATTATCTTGGTAACTCAGACAGAATCATGACAGCTTTTCCATGACTTCCTTTAAAACCACAACATTGTTATCTGATGAATTACACTTCAAGAGCACAGTCTCTGTAGTATTTAATTTCACATTTCTGGTAATAACAAGGGGCGTTTAAGACAGAAATCAGGACGTTTCATGAACATTATCAAATTAGTTCTATTTTGCACACAACATTGGAAATTTATATAAATTATTTTTCTATAGGATCACATTAGAAAAGTACACAGTTTGAAATAGTGGAGGTGAGCACAAGAAATATGATGCTATTTTGGGCTTTAGTGAAGCAATAATCCAGTATTTGAACAATCTATCTTTGCCTCAGGTTCTGAATACACTCAAAGAGGCAGAAACTGATTGATTTACAGAAGATGTATTGTTTAAATGTCTTCATAAAGAGACTGGAGGCTTTAATATCTTACAACATTGATGTATAATGATGTCCATGGAGAGTACAGTAGCTGACTTGTTTATAAACTGCTTATAAACAACTGCTTTATTTAAGCAAACTTGTAATGCTTATGGAGAATGTAATTTTCAAAATGAAACCCATAAATATAGTGAAAAATTCACAATAGTATATGATCTTACAAATAAAATGGAAATAGCTTGATTAAGTGGTGAAGTGTATAGAAAACAGGGAAATAAAATATATGAAAGAAGTTAAGATAGCATGGCAGTAGCATCTTAAATCTATTACATATAAGAAGTGTAGCAGAAGCAAATATGTGGTACTTAGTTATTGTTAAAAATTACCTGCGCACTACAGGAACAACTGTTGAAAATATGCCTAAGAATTATGTACCTCATTTAACTGCATTTTTTGCTTCTGAACGGTAAAATTAAACAGCACTTCAAAATCAAATGTCAATCAACTGGCTGAGCATACTTTCAGATGACAAAATCTTCATTCCAGTTTTGTTTTAGCTTCTTTTGCGGCCCAGACCCAGTTTTCTCAAACAATAAAAATGCTAGTAGCAAATAGCTAATATTGCCTGATGGTAATCTCTTGAGTACTGGGTTTGGCACTGAGTACTGAGTACTCTAACTCCTGCAAGCCTGGAAGTGAAATATGAAAGAGGACGCCTGGATAACTTAACTCTGCCCTCTAAATTATGCAGGAGGTTATCTCACTACATTAGAAGGGAGTGACGGCTAAGCATTGCTACAAGCCTAACCTGAAGGCTCTCTTTATTAACTCTGGTTCTAAATGAGTATTTCCTAGTTGGACAGCACATTCAAGGAAACTGGATTATTTGTGTATCATTAAGAAAAAAAACCCCCATATGCCAAAACTACTAAATGATATCACAGGATCACGAGAGGCTGACTGGTCCTGGCAGAGGCTGAAAGATACCTCTGGAGATCATTTGATTCAATCCCATTGCTAAAAGAAGGGTCAGCTGGGGCAGGTTGCTTACAGCCATGTCCAGTTGAATTTTGATTATCCCCAAGGATGATATATATAATGAGATATTTGCTGTAACTTTCAAATAAATCTGTCTCAAAGGAAATTTTGTTTAAATTTATGTGTTCCCATAAAGTGTAAGTTTTTCTTAATATTTCAGTTGCTATCATAAAGAATTGACAATAGTATAATAGTATAATGGGCATTTATGCCAACTTTGCAAGTCTAGGGCAAGGTCTTCCTTCAGTGTCTTCTATTTCCATGAATACCATTGTGAAACTGTAGCAGAGGTAGAGTCAAAAATAGCCAGTTTTTATCATGGATAAATACTATATCATTTATTCAAGAGTTTTTTGCCTTGTACTCTGGGGCTTGTGGTGGATAAGAAGTCAGTAAAACATGTGCTTCTACTAAAAGGAGTGATGTTCAGGATGATGCATTTAAGCCATAAGGCTTGGTGTAATCTGTGAATTATCTAACATGTCTGAGCATCAGTTTCCTAACAGCCAAAAATTTTAAACGTTAGGATCAAACAAATAAAGGCAAGATCTTGAAAATAAAACATATTTCAATTCTTAAGGACAAATGCATAAAAATTTTCAGAACTGAGAAGCTACTTCAATAATCCAGAAAACTATTTACTTAGTTATGAAACAAGACCAAAAGACAGAGGAAGAAAATAAGGCTGGACACGTGATTTCAATCAACCCTTTCAGTGCCTTTCCTCACTGCTGAGGACCAAGGAATCCTGTTCATTGTAGCTGACTTCACTCAATCACAAGGAAATAAGGGATTCATGGAAAAAAGCAGGAAAAAACAATATTCTTTGATTATCTAAATTTACTGTAAGAATGTATATCCATCAGTGAATACAATTATCAAACACAAAATACGGTACTTACAGTGGGAACTTGAAAGCGTTTCATTACTCAAGAAATTAAAAGCAGGGATGACTGCATGGCCCTTTCCAGTGACACTCACTATTTCTTCCTCATTATCTAGGACTTGTAGTTTAAGGAACACATCTGATATAGAGGTTTGTACCTGCACTGTAGCAATATGTGATGCTGTGACTTTTACTGCATACCTAAAGAGGAAGGAAAAAAATATAGCAATATAATCAACTATATCAGATCATTCTTTTTTTAGGAGAGGACCTAAACATTGTGCTGACCTGGAAGAAAACACTTAAAATTGAGTTTGTAGTCAAGTTTTTACCGAAATCCTGTGGGCTAAGCCTCTTGTAGTGAAATTTAGTGCAGTGAATCCATAATCAAAGTAAGTGCTGCTGAAAAAAAAAGGGGTGGTCTTGCTATTTCTTTTTTCATTGCCTTATCAAATGCCAAGATACAAATTTTTCCCTCCTGCTTTACTACTACATGTTGAAAAACATGGTTAGCCAAATTAGGGAACTGTTTTAATTAAAAAGTAACTGAGCAAAAGTAAAGAAAAAGATTTGCTTTCAAAAAGGCAGAGTTATCTCATTTGATAGCTGCTGCTACTCTGGTCACCTTAAAGGACTGTGTAACTATAGTCTTAGGATGAAATTTAAATAATATTTTTGTTGTGACTCATAACTTTATATATGAATGGCTTTTTGTCCATAAATTTAAATTGTTAGACTAAACTCAGCAAGCAAGCAAGAAAACATCACCACCAAACAAAAACTCTGTCACCCTGATTTCAGCAGCCAAAAATATATAATATATATATATATATATTTAAAAGATTGGTAATATCAGAGAAAAAAAAGTAGAAGAACTCATCAAAAGAGAGAGTTTACAGAATATGAGTGCATTTGTTATATTTCCATTACATGCTTTCTTCATATGTAGTAAAACTGATTCCTTCTGTTGAATAGACTCTTATCCCAAGAAAAACCCATTGGTTTCAAATATTGATACAAATTGTCAGGAATCCAAGCAAAATGTTCTAGAATTAACCTTCGAAATACGTGTATGTAATCAGCGCTAAGCACAAGCCCTGTTTTAGTGCAGTGTGTAGTCCTTTGTGTAAAAACTTAAGTAGAATGATTTAGTCAGGGTAAGTTCTGAATGCAAACTTAGCCAGAATAAACTGATTTTAATTAACTTAATGAATTAAAAAGATTAATAAAAATTAAATAATCACATTTATTAAATATGTTTTCCTAAAAGAATCAGCATGCTAAAATGAAATTTATATTCATTTTTCTGCCAACACGGTAAGAGGGAAATTGTCTGATGTATCAGAAAAGATGTTGTATTTCTGTATTATTTAAAGCTTTATCTGAATAACTGAAAAAATATATAAAAATTTAAGTCTCCCTACCTACAAAATCTTGATTTTAATACATATTTAATCCCCACAATTACTATGGAATTTCAGTAATTGACATATGGATAAAATTTCAAGATTGAGCTTACAGAAATACAAAATATTACAAAATATTACAAATGTTACTATTATTTTAAAGTTATAGTCTGTGTACTTCATGCCTGTTCTTCATTAAGCAGTGGCAATATTTCAGAAAATAACACTTTCACAAATGAAATGTTAAATTTGGTATTGCACATTGATGTCTCCTAAAATGTAGCTATTTGCCTTAATACCCTGCCTTTATAAGAAAGAGGAAAGAACAATTCAGTCAAGGGTGGTCCATATAAAAAGAAGAATTTAATCACTCGTGAATGTTTACCTGAACATTACATGCTGGTCATTGGGTATGTAAAACTCTCTAATTTCTTTAGTAGAATAGACATTATTTACAGCCTCACGAGAGAGAAATGGGAGTGGACTATGAGAACCGATGAGCCGAAGCCTCCATCTTCCAGCTGCCACAGGTAGGTCACCAGTATGTGCTTCAGCCATAAATGTGTATCCTTTCTGAAAGAAGAAAACAAATTATTTTTACTTGGAAATGAAACTACTCAAAATGCACTCTGAGACTATATGCAAGACACTTTTTGTCCATGTTACACTTTTTAATATGATAAGATGGCCTTCATAAGCAAGAATCTTATAGTTCTGTTATAGTCTTATGCAGCATCTCTTATTACAAGAATTACAATTAACAAAAAGTTACACAGCAAGTCAAATCCAATCTCATCTGACTTCAAAGCTGGTAGATATTTTTAGAAGCAGGTTCAAACTCCTGAGGTCACTTTCTAACCAAATAATTTGATGATTCTAAGTTGTTTAATAAGGTCAAAATGGTAAGTTAATAAGTTAATTTTGCAGGTGGGGAGACTTAAATTTTTATTTCTTTTTTTCACCTATTCAGATACACAAGTTTAATAAATTTTCTTTTTTTGTACATCATATGACTATGCAAAGAGCTCTTAGATAAAACATATATATACACACCTCGGGGTTCTGTAATGTTACCATTCTTTTTCTTGTAAAACCAGTAGCAGTAGTATCAATCAAATTATTTTCATTTGCTATGAAATACTTTTTCCCCTCTTTATATCTGACCAGAGCTATATGTGGTGGTGGTGACAGTAGTAGCAAATGTAGTAGTAGATATAATGAAGAAAGAGTAAAAGACTGCATAAGCAAAGAACTTTCGCTCCAAGATCTGAGACAACCACATCAAACTTATACTCTGCCATTGCTGGGAAACATCTCACCTCTATGCCAGATGTAAGAAAGATGTGTATTCTAAAGTGTTGATAGATTTGAAAACTGTGCAACAATTTTGTTATTGTTGATACTTTTAACTCCAAAGGTGACCACAGCTGAAGATAAGGAAACTAATATTGTGGCAATTCACACACAAGAAATTTAGCAAAAGCTAACAGTCATCATGCATTTGAAGGCAAAATTAGAGAAAGACAAAATGTAAACATGAAAATTACTGCATTCAGTGATGAACCAGAGATTTAAAAACACCCCTTTTATGCTGTAGGCAGTGTGAAAGTATGGGTGAATGTAATTTTCTGTGTGGAAATTTACAGATTAATTCTCTCTTTAAATCTGAGGTTAAATTAACATTGCCCCTATTTTTAATAATGTCATTGCAAGTATAGCATTAAATGTCAGGATATTAATCTTACTTTTATGAAGATGTTGAAAAATAAAAAAAAATGATAAAAAATGCAATACACAATTAATAAGCCTAATGCAGATTTATCTGCTCATTATGAGTTCTGAGAAGAGGAATATGGGAAACCAGAATATAGTTTAAAAGATTTCAAAGTTTGATTTTATTTTCTATTTGAAAAAAAAGGAGGCAGTATGAATGTGATTAGGCACATTTGAAGGCAGGGGCAGGAAAAACGGATATAAGGAGTGCAATGGCCAGTTGCAATGTAGCAAGAGAACTCAGGATTAAGTCCCTTCTCCAAATTCTCTAAGCTAGCCCTACCAGCCTGCTATTTCAAACATTAAAATTTCATGTTCCACCCAAGAAATAGTCCAGATGAAATCTCTTTGAAAGGTTTTCTTTCTTGGCAGTATCCTGCTAAATTTCAGTTAAAAGAAATCAGTATCTTCCAGTAAGAAAGCTTTGTTGAAAAATTCTTATAATAAATAGGGTTGTGATTTCAGGACTATCCAATAATGCAGGGTTGTGACTTCAAGACTACTGGATATTTAGAATTAAAGTAAAGGAAATAATTCACAATTCCAATATGTGCAATTGTAACGGTAAGGCACTTTATACCCTTTAATCACTACAATGTAATAGCAACCATTCAAAGCCATGATTCAGGAGAACTCATTTATTTAATATGTAGTTAAGCATATCAGTAAATATGTTCTTAACAAGTACACTTGGAACCTGAGAGGGATTTAGCTAGATATTCAAGTGCTTTCTGACAGCATGTTGTGTATGAGAAAAACAGTTTCTGTTGTATACCTTTTTAGAAAGACAAGGTTCTACAGTCTTAATGTTCACAATAAATATGCAGAAAATTTAGATTTAAGATTAAAAAAAATGCTTGAGTGGGCACTTTCTGATTATTATAAGCAATTAGAAAGCACAACAACTGAATTTCGCATTTGGTAGGAACACTGAGTTTGTCACTACTGAGAAATAAGCAAATAGATCTAGACAACCCCATCAGATTTTTGTCTCTTTCTTAAAAGCTTTTAAGAGGTTTTATTACCTACTTAGATATCTTTTTACAATTGACTCTCCCTAGAATCAGAAAGGGCTCTTTTCTAATAAACCACCTAAACTAAGTTTTTGGTAAAATAAGATAATTTCTTTATGTCCTTCTATGACTAGTCAAGACAAATACCGATGAGTGTCCTTGCTCAAATAGACTTGCATTGTCTAGACTAAATATGGTGTTAGTGATGATTTCTTAAACTCTTATCTTTGCTGGTCAGCTGAACTTGAGGAATGCTTATCTGTAGCCTTTTCTACAATCATTTCAAAAGAATTGTGAATAATAAAGACAGCAAAAATAAAAAAAAAAGGCACAAAACCCCCAAACCAACAAAATACTCAAAAAAACTAACCAACTGTATCCAGCAGTAGAAAAAATTACCATGGAAGAAGAAAGTGTAATGAAAAAAATCCAAACAATGTAAAGCAAGTACCTAGTTTCTCTCTAAATTGTAATGTCTGCAGAAAAAAAGTCAGACATTATTACTATTGTGCACATTTTATCTTTACTGTCAATCACTCTTAAATGAACTTTAATCTGTTCCAGGAGAGTCTCTGCAGTAGAATAATAGTATCTGTTGACAGAATTTCTTTTTAGCTCTGTTGTAAATTGCAAATTCATAGTTTTGATGCAGAACTATTAACTGATATGTTTATTCTAAAAAAAAAAAAGTTTTCTACTATAATATTGATATTTAGGAATTCAGGCAGAATGCATAATTTCTTGCTTGATGTATTACACCATTGACTATTTTTTACAAAAAAGAAAGGTAATAGTCAGATTAAAATAATACCACTATACTCTGTATTTCATAATAAATGCAGAATGTCTTGTCAAAACATCAATAAAGCTTTCAATAGTTTTTGCAGATCCACTGAAATATTAATGAACCATTCATAGATAGGAAGAACACAAGATAAATTGTACAGTATAAAGTTATATTTTTACTGAGAAACTCAGTAGCAGTGATTAAGAAAAGTAATGAGAACAAGTAGAAAAACACAGCGTACTTGCACACTTCTGCTTCAACACTCTTAAACCAAAATCACTCTTTACTGATAATATTTAATATTATAAAATGTAAGACATGAGTTTAGAGAATCAAAGAATGGTTTGGGTTAGAAGGGAACTTAAAGATCTTCTAGTTCCAAGCCCTCTGTCATGGGCAGGGACATCTCCCAGGTGTCCCAGGTCGCTCAAAGTCCCATCCAACTTGGCCTTGAACACTCCAGAATAGTAACAAAAAGCCCTCCTTTAGGTGTGAACTCCTTTAATAAGGAAGGTCAAGAAGAAAATAAAAAGGGTCATTTTCATTAGTTAATGACAGAATCACTGAGGCTACTGTGCTATATCCATGAAAAAAAAAATTATGGCATGTACCAGGTGGGTTATGTGCATAGCAAAAGAAGCACTTCCAATATTAAAACCACTGTACAGCACAAAGTGTTGGCAAGATCTTATTTGAAATATTGTGTATAATTCTGAACATCTTTATTCAAGAAAAATATGTTAAATGAGAGGAGGCCTGAGAAAGAAGTAGTAAAATCAAAGAATTGAAAAACCTGCCTTACAAGGCAGAACTGGACAGCCATATCCTGCTAAGCAGGACAGATGCTGAGATAAGATCTGAAATAAATCTGAAGTTGTGATTGTTCTTTCCACAACTCACCACTTTCCTGAAAAGCAGTAAGTAGTGTTCATCATGGAGATTTGCTTTTGAATCCTGCCACTTGCCACTGTTGTTCCACACTGAATTGTCCTGTCTGGTGAAATCCACACCCCTCTGAGAATCCCAAATTAGTTTGGAGAGCTTGAAGAGCTTGTCTGCAACCCTCCTTCTTTAAGTACATTCCTACAGCAGTAGCAGTCCTTATCTGTCACGTTCAGCTAACATTCACTATAAACACTAGATAAGGCATGTTTATTCTAGTGCAAAAAAAAGTCTGGTGAAATTGGAAGTTACAAAAGAAAGAAAAGGAAACTGCTCCTACAGTGTTAGACTGTAACTGACATCAATTCCTAGTAATTGACAGATAAGACTGAAATGACTAAAATGTGAGCGTGCCTTCATTAAAAGGTCAACTGTGAACATGTGGCTAGAATAGTTAATATTAGAGGTAATATTAAAGAGGTAAGAGGAAGGCCAGATTAGGAAAAGTAGTAGTAAATGATTACATAGATAAATTAAGAGTTTGGGTTAGTTAGCTCTGATGAACTTCTGAACTGTCTGAAGAGTAAATAAATACAACTTACAACAATCACAAAGCTTTTAAATGATGTTTTGTAACTGATGGAGGACAGGGAAGGTACTGGAAGACTATAGAACTGCAACTTTGTATTTAGGTGGACAGTGAAATATAGAAAATTATCAGCTAGCATGATTCCAGTGTCTGAAAACATCATGAAATAACTAATAAAACGAACTTCTTGCTACACCCTCAACACAGCAAAAAAACTACATAAAACAAGTCCTGTCAAACCAATCGAGCTTCCATTTTAATAGGAAAGCACGCTATGGGAAGGAAGGAGAAAAGGTAGGAGAGAAGGGAGGAGAAGGGAGAATGTTTAATTAGTTGATATCACAAAGCTAAGAAGGACTGTAAGTTCAGAGGAAGGAAAAAAAGGATTTAAAAATTATTTTAAACTAGGGAAATGGTCTGAAAAAAATAGCATTAAAATCAGTAGTGAAATACACTGAAATAAACTACAGAATTCAATTATTCAGGAAAGCACCTAGGGTTACAGAAGTACATGAGTCAATAACAGTAGTGTTGCAAAATAGAACAAGCATCACAGTTGGATATACAGGAAGTAAAGCCCACAAGACATGTACACTAATTGTTCCTTTCATATCATCATTGATATGTCCATAAGTTAATCCTTGGTGCAAAGTTTACTGTGCTCAGTGCAGTGCATGATAAACAAGGAAAAAAACAACATTGAAAAGAGTCCAGAGGAGAGACTAATGAAGAGTGTAGGACAAGTAACTTACAAGGAAAGATTGAGCAAACTGCCTTTTTAGCCTAAAGATGAAAAGGCAAGAGGATGGGAAGCTGTGATAATTATTTAACAATATAGTTATTTTTTAGAGGTAATTTACACTTATGCTTCTGAGGTAACATACAGGCTTTGAGGGGAAACATATCTAAAGCTGTATTTAGCTTGAAGATGCATGTTAATTTAATTATTGTAAGCTTATAAAAGGCTATTCAAACCTCATTCTTAGTTTGGCCTCTGACACTTGAAGGTTGGTCTGTCAGATGGCCAAGCATCTACAGTAACCATATTGTCATGGAGTAGCACAGCACAGGGAAGTTGAATGATATTCAGTTTTATAATGATAATATATTATTTCCCACTGTTTGGATGTTTTATTTTCCTCCGTTTAGAGACAGTAAAAAAAAAAACAAAGGAAATTAAGGCTGTGCACAGAAGCAGATAAATGATAGTCTATTTTCAAACATGCTTGTAAATAAGGGTGCACTTCTAAGCAGAACATTATGATGTAGGTGACAATGTCCACAGAATATAGGAAGTTATTATTATTTTTAAAATTATACTTTTCACAACCACTCTTAGCATTTACCTTATTTTTGGGATAAACATGAGGTGCTACTTTGAAAAAGACATGTGGCATTTCCTCAAGTGTGTCGTTATCAATGACATGAAGTCTACAGGAACGGAGAGTGGTATACACCTTTGGCACTATAAGCATATCTTCTGGAACATGAAATATTTCTCTAAAAAAAAATCAAATTATATTAAAGTTATTTTCACAAATAAAAGTATATGTGTAACATGAAGTAGAAGTATTCATTAGAATTTAAGGAAATCAGATTTATGTAAAATTACATTTTTAAAGCAGATTAATAAAAACCCATAATGTATCAGCACTACTTCCCCATAATAGCTGCATAGGGCTGTATGAAACTCACCTGAAAACCACAAACCACATATTTGGTGGCTGATCAGCATACATTACAGCATAGTCAGCAAAAGACATCTTACACCACTCATCTTCATAGCAAGGAAACTTCTCAATTGATTTACAGTTTCTTCTAAATATTTCTCTGGAAAGCAGAAAAGAAGATAAATATTAAAATCTAATCAGGAGTGCACATATAACTTGACTTTAACTTATGCTAAACATGAAGAACATTCCTTTGTGCATGAGTGTAAAATAATATGAAATGTGTTACTAATGTTCCTCTAGTAGCTGTTCAGTCTTAAAAACTAATAAATCAGGTAGGGATCAGATCTTTTAGAGCTAATGGCCAGTAACGGCCAATACTTACATACAAATAGTTGTATCAGTCAGTCTATCCACAAGTGCAAATGCTTCAGATATCCCAAAATGTTATAGTCGCTACAAAATTTTAGTTTATTTTTTTTAAATAAATATCAGTCAGCATTACTTCCATTTTCTTATATTAAGCTATCACTTTAAAGCTTTTTGGAACAAGAAAGCAATAAAAACAAAACCAAATAAATTTAAAATGGGATTAAAGACATTACTTTCACACGGGGAGGAACCTAAGACTGTAAATTCAGAAGTTATTTGTGAGGCAAATAAGCTCTCAGGTGTTATGTAGTTCTACAGAATTAGAGCTAATCTTGCTGGCATCTAGCTGACACCATGATTTTTTATTTACCATATGCATATCAAAAATTTATATACCTCTGGACAATGCGATGTGAAGACCAGCATATAAAATTCACTGTTATGTGAACAGGTGGGAAGGATGAAGGGCAAAAGAAATATAATGTCTTACTCCATCTTTTGGCTCCTTCCAGTGATTTTCTCTGGATATTATGAATGAAAATGTGCCTACATAGAGGTGAAGTAGAGGATATCCTTCTCCCAGCCACTCTCTCCGTGTGGCATTATTCTTTTACTACCTGCTTTCTGAAATAAGTAAACACTGTATTTTTATATTTTTTTAAACTGTCTTTCTATTGGTCTAATTCAAAGTTTGGTTTATATAGTTTATATAAAGGAGGCAGCCTAAAGAAACCTCACAACGTCCTTTTCAGTGATACATGCCTTTTTTTCTGTGTCAAATATGAATGCGTTCAAACTGTTCAACTGCAAAAGTTTTATCCACAAAATTTGGATAATGCTACTTTGATGTTCTGTTATTCCTAGATAGTAATTGAAATTACAGAAAAATGTCTCCACATTCATGTTTTTAGCAATGATAATAGTTGACCTCTACTCACTTTCTTTAAGGTAAGTCACAGAGTGGATGCAAACATCACAGAACAGTTTGAAATCTCAGTCCATGAAGCTTTGCAAAGGTTCCTTACACCACTGACAAAGAGTGCACACACACTTTTTACATCAAAAGTCCCTCAGAAACCTCAGACTTTTAATTAATTGAAAAACATAGTAGGGACACAAATGAGATTACATGAGGTGTATGAAAAGCAGCTGGCAGCCCTAGCACAAACCAAGAAGTTTTAGGGCATTTTAAACTGATGTTTGTGTTGTACGATGGTACTGCTTCTGGCCTCCAGTAAGTCTGAGGTTAGAGAATAGGAAGACATTTACCGTAATACAGAACTTTCAAAATTCCTATGTGTTTCTTTATTGGCCAAGGTGTTAGCTTGTTATATTAAATGACAGTCTGTCAGCTAAAAACCAAACAAAAACCAAAATTACATTAGCATGATTTTAAACACTTGAATGTATCCCCTGGGACAATGCTTAAGAGTCAGGCCTATAAGTTTTAAAAATCTGGAGGTAGACTAAAACCTACATCTGATCTTTGTTGATTTAGAGATGCTGCAAATTTAAAATTGAGGTCTAACATTTGGAACAAGGCTGTGCCTGCAAAGTCCTGATCCGATTGGCATAAAAAGGTTTTACAAGATACAATTATGCTAATTAGAGGCACTAAAAAGTGAAATAAAATTATACCCCAAAGAAGTGTTCATCAAATTGCTGTTTATAAGGAGTGAGGATTTATACCCGCAGCCAGTAATTTTTGCCAGTTCTTACTACTCACCCCTGGCAGAACTGATCTACTGCTAGATCAGATGTGTAAACACTTGTAGAGAGATTTTTGAAGGACTTCATGAAAATATGTGATCCACAAAGTGTGTCATGTTTGCAGATGAATTAAGGAACACTGCTGAAATTAGAATAGCTATCTTTGCAACAGCTGTAATTGAGCATCAGGGAAAGCACTAACCTAGAACAACATCTACTTTCCTTCATGTGTTACAGATAAATTGTCTGATGATGTAAACGGTGGTACAATTAAACATTATAGTTCTCTCCTTCCTAACATCAACCAGGAGTCCTTAACAGATAGCATGAATCAAAATACTTCTTTAAATTAACTTGTTAGCTGTTTAATTAAGGACTCAGTATCAAATATATTCTTACAAAACAGCCTATAGGATATTAAAAAATGAAATTCAGGAGAAATGTAATATTCCAGCTCAAGCTGTAGGAAACAACCTGTAACACACATACCTAAAGAATAGATTTGCTATAGTTTTACTCATGAATGGTACACAGAATAAAGCAGAGCATATCACGTATCTTCACTAAAAACATCTAATTCCTTCCAACAGACTTCTGTAATTTTAAAAAACAGTTTTGTAATTTTAAAACTAGTAATGCTCTTCCCATATTTACTTTGTGAACCAGCAATTTATGGTAATTCCATGGCCACAATAAAATAGTTTAATTTATTACATGATTACCTTAACAGCATTACAGCACACTCTTCAAAATTTAACTCAATTGCAGCCCACAGTTTTTGCAAGGTTTCTTTGACATTAGCATTTTCTTTAGTACCTGGAAAAAATAAAGTTAGAAAATGTATATGTCATCTAAGTTTTGTATTGTTCTAAATATATACCTGCCAAATACTTGTGAAAAATGTCACTCACAAAGGTAAATTGTCTTATGAATCACTAGTTTTTATTTGGAGTTTTACAGGCATCTGAGATGAAAACTAATTTCTTCTTTGACAGAGGAAATTCCCTTCATCATGACCTTTGCACTTTTCAGCACTCCTACAACTGCAAAAATGATGTGATCAATATTTTCTCTGGTTTGCAGTTTTTTCACTGAAACATGTTGTAGTCATATGAGGTGATCTCTTTCCTTGTAGAATACACTGTTTACCTCCAAGCAGCTTTTATTTGCAGATACTATGAAGAGGTAGTTATGTGCCTAGGTAATCTGTGTAGCTAAAAAGAAGAGAATTAAGCAGCTCCAGTGGGTAATTCAGCCCAACATCAAAACTAAGTTTTCTACATCTCAGATGACAGGATGTTTTGCCATCTCAAAATGTCTACTTCTGTCCACAGAATACACATGAAGACTAGGCAACAAGTTCAACTTTTCAAGACTAAAGTTATTTGAAATCGTTCTTTATCACATAAATGGAAGGGGAAAACTTAAAAAAAAAAGAGGGGGGAGTAATAACACTTTACTGTAATGACAAGTGAGAAAAACATTATAGATAATGGTATAGATAATGGCGGAAAGGAGGAGAAGAATAGTATGACTGAAAAAAGGAACACAACCAACAGTAAAGCACTTAAACAAAATACCAGAATTAAAGATTACAGAGTATTGAAATACAGAAAGACATGATAGACAATGGAAGAAAAGAGTTAAGATACTCACATAGTACTCAGATGACAAAAATCTAAAATCTAAACTTCAAAAGCTTCTGGGCTCTGAGATTCATAGATTCATTAGACTACGTGGTAGGAAAGCTTAGAGAGGACTGAACTAAAGGTGATAGTCTGGGGGAGAAAGGCAGCATCAGATTTACTGATGAGGAAATGAAGGTAAAAAAGATTTCTTGATGAGATCATCTAGTGCAGGTAAATATACAGGCCAAAAAAACCCCCAGCAATGATGGCAATTCAAGAAGGAACTTCCGGCAGAATGGGGATGACTTACTAAGGAGGGAATGCATAGCTCACAATGGAGCCGTTTTCTTTGTCATGATCCTCAGGCATTCGTATACTGTAAGGCTAGAAGAAATCACTGTGATCTAACTTTCTGTGTTACAGTCCTGTTAACATATTAATTGCTATTTCATCACATATAAATGACTTATTTTTTTTTAATTTGATGAGTAGTTGTTTGATTTTAAAGGCTTCAGCAGTACAACACAAATCTTGGTTTATTCCAATAAATACCTTATTTTGTAAAATAAATAAAACCTTTTCTAGTTTGAATGTGTCTAGATTCAATTCACAATCTTTGAATCTCAGACTAAAGATCTTCCTGTTAACCCTTTGGATCTCAGGTGAAAGACCTTTTTGCTATGAAATTCCTTTTCTTATATGGGTACTTACAGATTATACTGAACTAATTTGTAATCTTCTCTTTTTTAAATTACAAACTAACATCCTGCAAGAACAAGGTCATTCTTTAATCCTGATCCTTACACCTCTACCCAGAATTTCTCAGTTGTTACCTATCTTTCTTCTTGGACTGTGGACACTGCACTCGGATGTGATATTCCAGCTGAGACAACAGAATTTCTGAATAAGAAATGTAACACAAGCCTCTGACTGCTATGTAAGGTTCTTCTATTTATACACATAAGAATGAAAGATAGTATCAGTATAATATCTTCTGAGCACAGTGCTGGCATATTTTGAACACAGTACCAGCCTTTGATGCTATGTTCTGTTGATTATCCATTATGATGCTTAGGTACTTGTATGGACTTCACTTACTTTTTCAGAAAAAAGAACATTTAGCCCAGCTCTGAGCTACATCTACATTAATGTAGATTCTGTTTTTAATATCTTCGAAAATCTAGGGCAGGTGTCTTTCCTCTGCTTTTTAGTATCGTATGTGCTAATTGAGTGGTTAAGTTGAGCACTATTCTTAGTTTTACAAGAGATTGGAGATTCATCTGTAATGGTCTTTTGCATTTCAGTTCAATTTTAGTAGACATTAATTAGTAAGAAAATCCTTAAAGTGAATATTTCAATAAGGTGAAGTATGAAACATTTTTTTAAAGGCATTTTTAAAGGACACACCTGGTTTTCTGCTCTTTAGTACTTTCTTAACATAGGTCATTCTCCAGATAGCTTGAAGTTTAAGAGCTGCTGCTTCTTCTTCAGGAGTGGGAATTTGGTTTTGCAAGCTACTAAGGGAATTATTCTTCTCAAAGTTATCTGAAAGAGGAGGAGAATAAGCAACAACAATAAAGCTGGAAGTCCTGTAGCTGCTTGCAATTAAGTTAAAAACAGAAGAAAACAAAAAGAAATTTAAAAAAAACCCCACAAAACAATGAGAGTGCTATATTCCAAAAAGACTGGTTTCTACATAAAACTTCTATTTATGACAAAAATACCACTCTTAAATTTTTGCTTTTACCATGATAGAATTAGACATTATATACTGTGTAATTACACAAAGTCAGCATGCAACCACTATGCTAGTTCCAAATACCAAATTATTGAATTTGTACTTTTCTTTACGAACAGCTATTGCAGCGCATCTTCAAAAAGCTGAAAATCACAGGGCCACAAGCCCTTCTGTTTTCACATACTGCTATTGATTGCAGAACTGTTCACCTCTACCAGTTCAGATATAGCCCAATAGATGTTTCCCATCTCCATGGCCTTTATATGAGACCCAGGCTGGTGAGTTCAGTTTCCAGCTCACCTATCACTGTACCAAGACCTCATTATCGCCCCTACTCCCTCAGAACAGAGCCGTGAAATGCTGATAGGGGAATACACATAGTGTGTTGGCTTGGTGTTGACCCATGAACAAGCAGAAAAGTTTATTTGCTGGGGATGTCAAGTGGACTCTATAACTAGAAATAAATAACTCTGTCACTAGAAATAATACATGAATGATATTAATAGAAACTATCAAAGGTTCCCTAGAACATGCAGAAAACTGAAAATGCTGAAAGTTTAATGAAATTATGTATTCTTAAACATTTAATTTCTTTTTTTTGAATGCAGCTGTCTCCATTTCTTTAGAGTTCTGGGATGGAACGTGAACAAAAGGATATCCTTATTCCAATGCAACCTTTATTAAGCAGGGCAAAATGTATATCCAAGATCTTTATAGCTGGTAAATTGAACAAAAGCCATGATCTGCAGCACATCAGGTAAAAAAAACGTATCTGCAGATGCTTGTTAATGCTTATCTATACTGACAAATGCAAACTGAGGAAGACAAAGGGCAATTTTATAAATTTTATATATTAACAAAACATGAACAGGCTTTCTGGAACAAAGAAAAGTATAATTTCTATTCTGAGAGTCTCCGACGTGCTTGTCAACAGTAGAAGGCTTAGGCATCTCATAAGAAATGAACCATGCTTACTTAGGCAAGAAAGCACCAGATTAGTGAAGAGTTAGCTTCCTTGAAAATAAGAATGAAGTGATTAGCAATACCAATACAGTACCTGAAAACAAAGTGTCATCTTCAGAAAACACAGTGTCATCAAAATCCAAAGTGAAAGATCTGAAGGCAAATTTACAGTTGTGAAGAGACTTCTTGCCTAAGACATACTTGATCAAATACCAAAATGCACTATTGAAAACCTAAAATCAAAAAGACGAAAAGCATTCAAAGAATGATTCATTTTTAAAAGCTGATTTATATAGCTTCTCATTATTGTTTCAAAAACTGTTTAGCTCTTTTTTTTAATGTAAAAGTGAATCTTTAACTTCCTTTAACAAATATAGTATCTGAAAATGAGTCCTAACTGTAGGACTACAATGTTTCGAGTCAAGAGAAAACCTGTTTTATGCCTGGCTTATTGTATTGGGTTTTCTGTGAGGGGTTTTGGATATTTTTGGTAGCAGGGTGGGGCTCTAAAATGTCAGGCCCACCTCTGACCAGGGCCAAGCCAATCAGCGCTCCTGCAGATTAGCATATGTAAGAGGAGTGCAGTGCATGCCCCGCTCTCTCATGCCCCAGCCCCAACCAGCGTGGTGCCAGGTGCAGGCGGCATGGCTCCGGCTCTGCCTGGCTGAGCTGGGCTGGGTCAGCTCTGCTCCAACTTAAACTCAAACCCCATTGCAGCTCTAGCCCCCAAAAAAGAAAGGCGGGAACTCTTCAGAACCATCAAAGGGACCTTCAGCAGAGAAAGGAGTGGGACATGAGAACAGCTGTGCAGACAGACACCAAAGTCAGTGAAGGAAGAAAGGAGAGAGAGGAGGAGGAGGTGCTCAGAGCCGAGGTTTACCCCTGCAACCTATGGCAAGAGCACAGGTCGACCCTCCTGCAGCCTGTGAAGGCTCACCGGTGGAGCAGAGATCCACATGAGAAGGTGGCTGCTCTTGAAGATGTTGTGACTTCATGGGCACTGTGTGCTGGTGCAGTTTGTGTGTGAGGTAACTGCAGCTGTGGGTGGACCCACATTGGACTTTTGTGGAGGACTTTTCTCCAGTGGAAAGTGTGCCAGGTGGAAGCAGAGGAAGAGTGGGAGGGGTCCTCCCTACCCCTGAAAAGGAAGGAGCAGTAGAGATCACATGGCATGAACTGACTGCACCCCTCATTCCCATCAGCCTGCACTGCTGGGCAAAGCAGAGGAGGTAAAGAAATGGGAAACAAAGCTGAGCCCAGGAAGAAAGGAGGGGTGAGGTGAAGGTGTTTGACTTTAAGATCTGGTTGTATCTCTCACTGTTTTACACTGATGTTATTGGTAACATTAAAATTGTTTTGTTTTGTTTTTTCTTCCCAATATGAGTCTATCTTTTGCCCGTGATCATAAGTGGTGAGAAAAAAGCCCTCCCAATCCTTATTTTGTCTAGCACCTTTTTGTGTGCATCATGCTGCTCAGTTGCCCACTGGGTTAAAACCATGACACTTATTAAATATAGGACTCACTCTACAGCATATGTTTTTATCACCCAAAAATATGTTTGTAATTTATGTGAAGTGAGTTGATGGTCTCATACCAAAGGACAGAAGAATACATTATAATCACCATTGTGAAAACTGGCAGTCTAATTAGAGGTTTCAGAACACAGACCAACAACCAAATGGGCATGCTTACTGAACTAGGAGGTGGCACCACAAGGAAAAATAGAAATATACTGATGGGCAAGAGGGGAAGATTTGATGTCTTACTTATATGACTAAACTGATGGCTCTATTTTTATTCTTGACATATTAATGCTTTTTGAAGAGTAGAAATGTAGTCTCTTTTTCCTTTTTTTTAAATAGACATTTTAGAGTGTATTTTAAAGGATTTGTTTAATAATTTTAATTGAAGAACATAGTAATAACTTACAGAAAAGAAATAATTTTTCATTGTCCTCATCTCCAGATTTTTATGCTTTCTGGAAAAAATATCCTAAGTTATTTATTTTAATAGTAATAAACACTTTCTTTATTTTGAAAGGTTTAAGACTGGTGAAGGAAGAAGCTACTTTACTGCATTCTTATGTTCAAAATAATTTTTCACTGATAGATAATTTCTGTATTTTCATTCTTCAATCACTGTTGGCCTCCTATTTATCTCATTTCTGATTTTTTATTCCTGTAAAACTATAATTGGTCTTCTTGGACAGGTAGAGAGGAAGAGATCTGTATGTTCATGCCGACCAAATTTTTCTTAAGATCCCTAAGTTTCACACATATTTCATACGTATTTTTCATTCCACAGAGATCAAACTGATTTTTTCTGTTAGACTTGGCAGAAAAATTACCTCTTTCATAAGTGATGCACCTGGAATTGTTCTTTCTTAATTCTGTTGTTTTGCTGAATTTGAGCCTGGTGTAAAACCCATGTATAAAAGTACTGGCTTAGGTGTTATGGTTTTTTTTAGTATCAGTAATTATAAAAATATTCACCCCTTTCTTTTACTCAGTCTTTAAAAATAAGCTTCTAAACTGCATGAGCTTTCTAGTACTTTGATCAAAGTAAATTAATCTGGATTATATACAGTACTAACTGTTGAAAAATCAAGTTATAGCAGTATTATCAACATTTTCATAGACATAAAAATGAGCATATATTTTATGTAACTTTTTCGTTGCAATCTTTTTATAATATTGAAAAGCTACAGTATATAGATCTACAGAAGTGTAACATTTTCATCATGTATCTAAAGACACTTCCATTTATCACACACATAGAGCAGAAAAGATGAATAAGAGTTTCGCAGTTTCAAAAAAAACCCCCAAACCCCCCCCAAAAAACCAAAGTAAAACAACTCAGGGATACTGTGATTAAAAAGCACTAATTTCTTGTCTTCAGCAATATAATCTGTAATAATATTTTCCTATACAGTCAACATGAGGCGCAGAAAGAAACCATTCTGTCTCTTCTGCATCCTCCTGGAGAAGCTGGCTGGGCATGGCTTGGATGGGTATATGCTTTGCTGGGTCAAAAACTGGCTAGATGGCCAAGCACAGAGTTGTGGTGAATGGAGCTAAGTCCAGTTGGTGACCAGTCACAAGCGGTGTTCCCCAGGGCTCGGTTTTGGGGCCAGTCCTGTTTAACATCTTTATCAATGATCTGGATGAGGGGATTGAGTGCTCCCTCAGCAAGTTTGCAGATGACACTAAGTTGGGAGGGAGTGTTGATCTGCCTGAGGGTAGGAAGGCTCTGCAGAGGGACCTGGAGAGGCTGAATCAATGGGCTGAGGCCAACTGGATGAGCTTCAACAAGGCCAAGAGCTGGGTCCTGCACTTCGGGCATGATAACCCCATGCAGCGCCACAGGCTTGGGGA